TATCTGTGTATAAACATATAGATACACGTAGTTAGGTATCTGTGTATAAACATATAGATACACATAGTTAGGTATCTGTGTATAAACATATAGATGTAACTGCTTAATGTCTCTTTAGGCCACGTTTGACCTTATGCATGTCCCTAGTCCTATAAGGTGTTGTTGTTGTCATTGAATCAGTTCCAACTCATAGGGTTTCTGAGGAGCGGCTGGTGGGTTTGAACCACGGACCTTGCGGTTCAAACCAACCTAGCATTCCAGCGCTTTATCCTACAGTGCCACATCAGGAGTTCAGAAATTCTAATCATAGAACAAGTTGTAATGAACAAATTTTACTAAGTACTGAAATCCAGAGATCCCAGCTGTCTCTCAATAGCTCTCTGATCCCCTCATCTGCACCCAACCTGGGTGGCAACGTCATATATGCCACCACAGCCCCCAAGGGTGATGTCCCGCTGAGACATGGCTCCATTCAGTACGGAAACACTGTGCACATGACAGACATGAGGCAACAGCTCCTCCACAGTGGTGACGCTCAGAGCAGTAGTGGCAGGAGGGGTAGGAAAAGTAAGTGTGGGCTCAGTTCTGGTACCAGCAGAGCCACTTTCCATGTAGAAACTCAGCACAGTGGTGGTGGCCTGGCTTCCAGATGTTTGTATAACAGCCACAGCACATAATGTCTTATTTCATAGAACATATCCTGGATGTTAAATGAAGCCTACCTGTATATTTTAATGTTACATTTAACAGATTTTCTGTCTGAACAAAGAGGTATTGCTGAAAATGCCAATGCTGAACACCATCAAATTCTGCCTAAGAATTAAGACAGCAAAGAGGTGCATTTGACTCACTTTCAATAATTACTTTGAAATTATTTACCTCTCGAATCCACATAAACAGAAGATACGGGAATCTTGTCAGGAAAAAAACGAAGTTCATAGGACATGAAGTCTTTGAAAACCACACCGACAAAGTTACTGGGCTTAGAAACACTGGATGTTACCAATTGTTTTTCGTTTGCATATTCTTCATAAATGATGACTGCAAAATAATATAACTATGGTTAACTTATACATTTAAAAAGTTTACTATAACACAATAGATCAAGTACACAATTACATGTTGTTGTGAAGTGCCATCGAGTCGGACCCATAGCAACCACGTATAGGATTTCCAAGGAGCAGCTGGAGAGCTTGAACCGCCGGCCTTGCAGTTCAAACAGCTTTGCAGTCTGGAACATTAACCCACAGCGCCACACCAGGACTCCTATACAATTATATGAGGGCTTCAAAAAGTTCATGGAAAAAACACCATTCTATTTCAATTCCATTTTCCCATGAACTTTTTGAAGTCCCTTCATATTTGATGGATGTGACATTGGAAGGGCTTGTGAAGTTCTTGCACACTGAACCTCCTCGTCCCAGACACAGAAAGAGGGAACACCAGAGGGGCAGACGAGAGGCAGACGAGAGGCAGAGGAGGGGCAGCAGCGGAACCGAAAGTCAGAGCATGAGCCACAGCTTCTCAGCCCACCAAGCGGATAAAGCTCAGGGTCCTTGTGGAGTGGGGTGCCTGATCCCTGCAGCTGAGGCTGTGAGGCGTACAGTGGAGAGTCTCTGGACATTGATTAGCATCCCTCACAGAGCTTTGTGATGCTGTCTGAGAGGTCAAGGACCACAGAGCTGTGCCTGATCAGAACTGTATCCTTAGCATTTCTGTGGCGCTGTGGGTTAATGCGCCAGACGGCAAAGCCGTTTGAACTGCAAGGTCGGTGGTTCAAGCTCCCCAGCTGCTCCTTGGAAACCCTATACAGGGTCGCTATGGGTCGGAATCGACTCGACAGCACTTGACAACAACAACTACTTCCCTAATTAACTCCATAATCCTATGGTCTGTGAGTTCTGGTGGACACTGGAATGAATGAATGAACCAGCTGAGTAGAGAGGGCTGCGGGAGGGACGGTGGGTACCAGAACTGACAGAGAAGGCTGGAGGGTGGAGGCACGTCTAAGCTCAGCCTCCTTAAGAACAAGCCTTGTGCTAATACTGTTTAATTCTCCTTCCCTTTAGTGAAGCCAAGGTGGGCACATGCCACTCCCCCTCCCGTTTCTACAGTCAGTAAAACTTCCCTATCATCTTCAAAAAGGAATTCAGCCCTGTGGTACCGTAGGAAAAGCACTCAACCATAAGGTCAGTTTGAACCGCAAGGTCAGTGGTTCAAACCCACCAGCTACTCCTCGGAAACCCAATACAGGATCGCTATGAGTCCGAACTGACTCAACGGCACTTAACAACGACAACAAAAGAAAACATCAAATAACAAGTAACGAAAGAATGGTATAATTATACCGCTACTACTACACAGCCATCGGTTAATTATGTAAATTATGTCAGTATACTAAACTAAGACTATGATAAAGCACACTACAAAGCCAGATGCAGAACTCATATTTCACTAAAAGAGCACCCATTTTGTAAGAACCTCAATGAGCTATACTAAACTTTATAGTGAATAGTTTCAACACCATATCCTCTCTTCCTTGAGAATCCACAACCAGCAGGCTTCATTTTAGGTACACTGTTCAAATTCAAACTAAGGTTTCAGTTAGCAAAGAAATCATGAAAACGATGCAGTTCAGTTCTCTCTCTCAAAGTAAAACCAGCTAAGACAAGCTACAAATGATGTGATAAATGAGTGGCTACTTTATGGTTAGATAGCTTCTTAACTACAAAAGTCTAGAAAACCAAATAATGTATTTCAGTAACTACGCTATATTCCTTCTTTGCATACTAATCATCACTGAAGTCCAATATTGCTTATCCATTTCTTAGACAATAAATATATGGAGAAAATAACAAATGCAGTCAACTCACTTACACATTAAATACCAATTTTCAAATACTCTACTGCAATTTGGTTGCCAGGCTTCACTACTGAACTTCAGAACATGTGGAGGAATGGAAAGAACACAGGAATAGTGCTTGCCTTTGAGATTCATTAACTGTGTGAACACAAGCAGGTCACTTAACCTCTCTGAACCTTAGTGTGCTAATTAATGTACACTACACCTAGCTTACGGAGCTCTGGTAGCTTAGTGGTTATGAATCAGGCTGCGAATCGCAAGGTCAGCAGTTTGAAACTACCAGCTGTTCCACGGGAGAAAGATGAAGCGTCCTGCTCCCGTAAAGATTTATAGCCTTGGAAACCCTGTTCAGGGTCACTATGGGTCGGAACCGACTCGACGGCACTTAACGACACAACACCACCTAGCTTGGCACACCAGATTGTTTGAACATCAAATGCAGTAACAAACATGAAAATGCTTTGTAAATTATAAACTGTTACTTAAATATTAAAACTTTAACTATTATGACACCTTCAAGAGAGACATGGAATTCCAGAATTGACCGAATGAAGATATTATCAATTCAGCATCCTATCAGTATGTTACCAAGTATGAATGTATATCCCATTTTCAGACAGTTCTGCCATTTAAAAGATATTAAAAGCTCTCTATACAGTTTTACCATTTGGGCACCTAAATTAATACTCCCTAGTTCCGAGTCACTATGAGTCAGAATAAAATTGATAGCAATAGTTTTCTGGGGTGTTTTGTTTGTTTTTAAAAATATTATATCAATAAAATCTGGAATAAAATATTAAACAGCAATAAGCCAAGAAAAAAAAATATTGGCAAAATTAAAATTTGTCTCCTGATTAATTAATTTAAATTAAATAATTATAATTAAATCCATTTAGTAATACACTGTAGAATAATGTGATGGCATACACTAGAAGTGAATTAATTACAACAATATATGATTGATGATATAACATGCTAACCTTTTATTCAGCATTTTTTCATTAAACCAAAAAAGAGACATTAAAAAGGAACCATGGATGGTGCTGTAAGTGAGCACTGGACCGCTAACCACAAGGTCAGGGGTTCAAACCCATCAGCCGCCCCGCAGGAGAAAAATGAGGCTATTTGGTCCCATGAAGATTTACAGGCTCAGAAACCCTAGATAGGGTCTCTATGAGTCAGAATCGACTTGCTGGCAGTGGCTTCTGGTTTTGATTTGAGACATTTCAGTCACTTTCTCCAGTTCTCAACGGCATTCTAATCACACACTACCTCACTGCTTACACTATTTTCGAGTCAATTTCTTTGTGAAGAGTATAAACATGGAGAAAAACAGTCATAGGGACTTAGATACAGAGTCGTCAGGACTAAGTACTTCTTCAGTTTACACTTCAAAATAACTCCATTCAAAGGAATGTACTCTGAAAAAAATGACTGCTTTATGTTATCTTTCTAGCTTCTTAATTGTTACACACAAATTGGAATCAGAATGAAATAGCCTAGCAAGCATTCTATCTTATAAAATCGTTCTTGAACAATTTTATAAAAGGTCTAAAATTTCAATATGAAAAGGCAGTATACAAAAATTTCTTGCTGCCAAGAGACAACGATTGCTGTTTTCACAAGAAACCAAAAGCAATAGACTAAGATGACTTTAATGTGTTTATAAAACTCTCTTCAGAAAAAGGGAGAAAGGACGGAATGAAGAGGCTTTGTGTTATAGATTAATATGAAGAAAAGCACATAATACCATCAGGAAGGTGTGCAGCAGACACTTTCTCCATGATGCTTTGCGTAAGATTAGTCACAGGAGTATATCCAAGAATTAGGTTAGAGAAGGCAGGCTTTCCCCCAGTATTAAGTTCTATATCAGGCACTTCTTCAAATTTCTTATTTGGATGCAGCATACTAATTAATATTAACCAAAATAAAAAAAACAGTGGAAAAAGAATTTCCTAAAAAAAAAAAAGGAAAGAAACAAAATGATTAGAAGATTAGACAGTGGCACTGGGTTCCCATGTAAATTATATATTTAATACTTTCTTTAAAATGAGGAATGTGAGTCTCCTTTCTTTAATACAAGGAGTCCTGCTGACAGAGTGGTTACATGCATGCCTGCAAACCAAAAGGTCAGTGGTTCAAACCCACCAAGGGAGAAAGTTGTGACAAATTGCTTCTGTCAAGATTTCAAGCTTTGAAAACCCTCAGGAGGATGCGGGGGAAGGTAATCTCCACTGAGTGGTTTCCAACCTGTCTGGAGATGGGGATAACAGTCTTGTGGCTCAATAGTGAATAATTGCTATCAGGACTGATTGGGAGTGTTGCAAATGTAAAAGTAGAGTTTTGTAACCAAAGGAGGGGAGTGGTTGATTTTGCAGTCCAGGAGCAGAAGACCCTGGGACCATCTAGGGAGAAGAGCAGAGTGAGGGACCCTATCCAGAGAAGCAGTGACTCCAGAGATGGAGGCAGAGATGTGGACATGGAGAAAGGGAGCAGCTGGGGACTCTGGACTCAGGGAGGGAGAGGGGCTGTGTGCTGGCGGCCAAGGAGCAGGCTTGCAGGGTGTGCCCTCTGGTTGTCTGATGATGCACAGAGGGGACTGTAATCACTGCAATGAAACGAAATATGGTAGGATAAATGTAAAGCTGATATTCTCCCATGTAAACAATCACTCAATTCACAATCAAAACTTAAAAAGATACTAAAAAATAAATAAACCCCCCTCTGAAGCAGCTCTACCCTATCTTATGAGTCAGAATTGACTTGACAATAGTGGGTTTCTTAATTACACAAAGACATTAGTAAAAGCAATTCTAACAAGAAAGAAGCAGTGTGTTGGACATCTCACCTAGTCGAACAGGCATATGAGGTAATGTTCTCCTTTACATTCACTTCTACTGAAATATTGTAAAACTCAAGTTACATAACCAATTAAAATGATATAAAAACTAACATTTAAATTATCTTAGGTTACTGATAGAAATATCGTAATAAAAATTCTTGTATAAAATTTAAAACTACTATAAAATTGTCTAAGTCTCGATCAGAATGTCTATTTTAAATAGACTTCAATGGACACTTCTAACACTACACTCAGATGTCTTCTATTGTTGCTGATATTAGGTGTCCTCGAATTGGTTCTGATTCATAACGACGCTATGAACAACAGAGAGAAACCCTGCCCAGCCCTGTGCTCTCCTCCCAACTGCTGTTACATTTGAGCCCATTGCTGATGCCATGTATCAATCCATCTCATTGGAGATCTTCCTCTTTCTCACTGACCCTCAACATAACAAGCATAATGTCCTTCTCCAGGGACTAATCCTTCCTGATAACATGTCAAAAGTATGAAAGAAAAAGTCTTATCATCTCTGCCTCCAGGAAGCATTCTAGCTGTACCTTTTCCAACACATAATCTGTTTGTTCTTCTAACAGTACATAGTATTTTCAGTATTCTTCTCCAACACCAAAACTCAAATGTATCAATTCTTCTACGGTCATTCATATTCATTGTCCAATTTTCACATGCATCTGAAGCGAGTGAAAATACCACGGCTTCAGTCAGGTGCACCTTAGTCGTCAAACTGGTAACTTTGCACGTGAGCCTTTAAAGAGGTCTTGTGCAGCAGATTTGTCTAATGCAATATGTCATTTGATTTCTTTCCTGCTGCTTCCGGGAGTGTGGATGGTTAAGATGAGCAAAATGAAGTCTTTGACAACTTTAATCATTTTTCCATTTATACGCATGTTGTTTATTGGTCCCGTGGTGAGGATTTTGGCTTTTTTGCATTGAGGTGCCATCCATACTGAAGGTTGTGGTCTTTAATCTTCATCAGTAAGTATTTTAAGTCCTTTCTTTTTCAGCAAGCAAGATTGTATCATCTGCATATCACAGTTGTTAATGATGCTCTTATTCATCTAATCCATCTTATCTGATTATTAGCTCAGCATACAGATTGAATAATTATAGTGAAAGAATACAACCTCAGCACACACCTTTCCTGATTTTTCCTGAAACCATTCAGTATCCCATTGTTCTGTTTGAATGACTGCCGTTTGGTCTGGGCACAGGTTCCTTATGAGCACAATCAAGTGATCTGGAAAAACCATTCTTCACAATGTTATCCATAGCTTGTCATGATCCACACAGTCAAAAGCCTTTGCATAGTCAACAAATCACAAGTAAATATCTTTCTGGTATTTTCTGCTCTTAGCCAAGATCCATCTGATAACAGCAATGATATTCCTAGCTTCATGTCTTCTTTTGAACTCAGCTGGACTTTCTGGCAGTTCCTTGTTGATGTACTGCTACTGCCATTTTTAAATTATCTTCAGCAAAATTTTACATGCATGTGATAGGAAAGATATTGCTAAATGATTTGCATATTCTTAGCACAGATATGTCTTCAGTGTTACACCAGTTTTGTTGAAAGACTTCAATTTGTATTCCATCAATTCCCGGTGCCTTGTTCTTTGCCAATATCTTCAGTGCAACATGAACTTCTTGCTTTAGTACCATTGGTTCTTGATCATAAGCTATCTCATGAAATGGTTTTCATACAAAGACTGTGCATTTCTTCCATTTTGTTTTGATGTTTTCTGCATAATTCATTATTTTGCCCATAGAATTCATCAATCTTGCCAGTCAAGGTTTGAAGTTTTTCTTAAGTTCTTTCAGCTTAAGAAATGCTGAGCATGTGGTTTTCTAACCCGTCTTTGTACACTTCATCATAATACTTGACTTTGTCTTCTTCAGCTGCCCTTTGAAATGTTCTGTTCAGCTCTTTCACTTACTCATTTCTTTATTCGCTTTAACATCTCTATGCTGGAAAGCAAGTTTCAGAGTCTCTTCTAACATCCATTATGGTCTTTTCTTCTTTCATGTCTTTTTAATGACCTGGGGGGTTTTCCCCTTTATTATGTTCTAGATGTCATTCCACAGTTCCTCTCATCTTCAGTCATTAATCTCTAATGCATCACATCTGTTCTTAAGAAAATTTCTGGGTGTCATGAACTTGTTCTCATGTTCTTCAGCTTCAGCATGAACTTGCATATGAACAATTGATGTTCTGGTCCACAGCTGGCCCCTGGCTTGTTTTGGCTGATGCTCTCTCCTCCCACAGAGGAAGTCGATTTGATTTCTGTGTATCCCATCTGGTAAGGTCCATGTGAAAAGTTGTCTTTTATGTTGTTAGAAAAAGGTATTTGCAATGAAGAAGTCAGTGGTCTTGCAAAATTCTATCGTGGGATCTCCGTATCATTTCTATCACCAAGGTTGTATTTTCCAACTACTGATCTTTCCTCTTTGTTTCCGACCTTTGCATTCCAATCTCCAGTAATTATCAATACATCTTGATTGTATGTTTAATAAATTTCACATTGAAGAAGTTGGTAGAATTCATTAGTTTCATCATCACTGGCTTTAGTTGTTGTTGTGCAAATTTGAATAATAGTGGTATTCACTGATCTTCCTTATGTTGTTGTTAAGTGCCATTCAGTCAGTTTTGACTCATACAAATCCTGTATAAGGTTTCAAAAGAGCAGCTGGTGAGTTTGAATCGATGACCTTGTTGTTCAAACTGACTTTGTGGCCCAGTGCTTTATCCTCTGGTTTTCCTTGTAAGTGTATAGATATTATCGTATAACAGACAGCACTGTATTTCAAGATAGACCATG